CAGCCTCGTGGTTACTGACCTTTGCTAGCTTTTGGTCAAGCAGTGTTGTGCATTTAAAATTCTCATGTTTATTCCAAATCCCTCCATAGCTTTGCCTTTACCTATTGCTTCAGTCAACTTCAAGAGATCTAATTCTGGTGTCTTGAGTCTCTCTTGATTATAATCACTACAAATTTGGAGGCCGTAAGCACTGGAACTTCATTATTTAATTTCTCTGCCTTCCTACTCTCTTCACCTTAAGAAGTCATAAAACTTTGTTCTTCACTTGCCACAATATCTCCTTATGTGGCTTGGTTTCAAATATTGTCATCTAATGTTCCTATGGGAGTGTCTTGGGACAATTTTATTCATTATAAAGTTGCTGTATAATTCCAAATTCTTGATAAGAACTCAGCAGGATGATGGCATATTGATTCTGAGTACTGACACGTCAGCTCTGGGTGGTAAGTATTCAATGGGAGATTTCCTTGCTTTTATTTGGCTTGATGCTATGAGAATTCATGGAGGAGTCATGGTTAATGGACTGGACTTAGAGCTTCTCCTTCCTGACCATTATACTGCCATGTCTGACTTGCTGAAGGGACAGGACGAACCCAGAGATGTTGACTGAAAGGTACAACATAAAAATGGCTGTCATGCTGTTACTTGACCAGCCTGTGGGATAGCTGTCCCATTTTTGGTGTAGATCCATACTCATTGGTGAGGAGGACTTTAGACTGGAGGGGATGCCTTCTTGTGTCCAGTGTGATAAAGGCAGTCAATCCATTTTTTTTTGTGATTTATGCTCTGGATTGTGTTCTAGGTCATTTCAGAGTATAGTTGAGAGTTAGCCACATTATTATGCATCTTGACTAGTGCATTGACCAGACCAGTCAAAGACAGATTTCCTTCTTTGAAGGAAATTAGTGAACCAGATGGATTTTACAGCAATCCAGTAATATTAGGAGCACCATTATGGATACTAACTTTCCATTCTAGATTTATTCAACTAAATGAGTTGATATTCTTCAGCTGCTGCAGGGACATTTGAATTCATATCTCATTACTCAAGAGTGCCGAATTATGAATCTTAAAAACATTACCACAAAGTTAACATGTCCATAGCTGAAATTGAAGATAGGCCAAAATCATTTGAATGTCAGAACAAGGTTCAGCATGGTAGACTGGTTAGCAAGGTTAGTTCACATGGAATCCAGGGAGAGCTAGCCATTTCGAGAAAATTGACTTGAAGGTGGGAGACAGAGTGTGGTGGTACATGGTTGTTTTTTTGGACTGGAGACCTGTAACCAGCAGTGTGCCGCAAGGATTGTTGTTGGGTCCACTGCTTTTTGTATTTTATATAAATGATTTGGATGTAAATATAGAAGGAATGGCTAGTAAGTTTTCAGATGACACAATAATCGGTAGTGTAATGGACAGTGAGAAGGTTATCTCAGAGTACAACAGGACCTTGATCAGATGCCAGTGTTTTGAGCCATGAGAGATGGAGTTTAATTTGGATAAATGCAAGTTGTTGCATTTTGGTAAGGCAAATCAGGGCAGGACTAATGCACTTAATGGTAGGGTCCTGGGAAGTGTTGCTGAACAAAGAGATCTTGGAAAGTAGATTCATAGATCCTTGAAGGTGGAGTCGCAGGTAGACAGGGTATGAAGAAGGTGTTTGCATTGAGTGTAGGAGTTAGGATATCATGTTGTGGCAGTACAGGACATTAGTTAGGCCACTTTTGGAATTCTGCATTCAGTTCTGGCCTCCATGCTATAGGAAAGATGTTGATAAACTTGAAAGAGTTGAGAAAGGATTTACACGGATGTTGCCAGGGTTGGAGGGTTTGAGCTATAGGGAGAGGCTGAATAGGCGGGGGCTCTTTTCCCTGGACTGTTGGAGACTGAGAGGTGATCTTAGAGGTTTATAAAATCACAAGGGGCATTGATAAGGTGAATAGCCAAGGTCTTTTTCCCAAGTTAGGGGAGTCCAAAACTAGAGGGCACAGGTTTAAGATGAGAGGGGAAATATTTAAAAGGGACCTAAGGGCAACTTCTTCACACAGAGCTGGGTGCGTGTATGGAATGAGTTGTCAGAGGTGGTGGTGGAGACTGATACAATTACAGCATTTAAAGAACATCTGGATGGGTACGTGAATACAAAGGGTTTAGAGGGATATGGGCCAAATGCTGGCAAATGGGACTGGATTAATTTAGGATATATTGTTGGCATGGACGAGTTGGTCTGAAGGGTCTGTTTCTGTGCTGTACAACCCTATGACTCTATAACGGATTTGATGGGTTCATTTACCCACTTCTGTTCCTATTTCTTCCGAGATGGATATTTGATGTTTTCTATTTGCTGTGTGATTTACAAAAGTGTGGAGGAGAAATTGAGCTCATTTGTTGTAAATTGTTTGAGCACCAGAATCATCCTTGGAGCGTCTAAACAGTAGCCATGGTACTTCTACACATTTGTGGAGTGAATTGCATAGAACGCTTTATCGGCGAGGGGGTTAACATGTGCATAGGAAATGTCCATCAAAGGCAAATCATTGGGTCAACTAATGTACAACAGCAATGCCATTTTGGAGCTCAACATTCTGGCTAATGCATTGTTTTAATGTCATGACTGAACAAGTATTTCTCAACTGAAATAGCTGCACAGAGACTGGTATCCCGTCATCAAATCACTCTTTATTTACATATGCACAGTCCACTGGCTGTAGCTAGCCAGCTCAGAGTCAGTCCCTGAAGTGAGGAGGTTCTGACGCTCCTGTTTATATCTGTCAGCCAGGGCTCCCTCATTGGGGTTGTTAACCTGGGCCAATCAAGGATGTCATAGTCAATAAGATCCACCTGGTTCCAATCACTACATCAACAGTAAGGATAAACCAATGTTATTTGAAGGAGCCATCAACTACTTACAAGTGTGTTCCTTGTTGATTTCTTCTATGCTATGATTCAACATATATTTGATACTTTAAATAGTTTCCCTGCAGGGAAAGCATACCACTTACCACTGTTAAAGTACTTTATCCTGACTTCACAGCTAGTTGTTATGACACATGGATGCAATAATAGTCATTTTCTTTGACATGCAGTATGACTTGGAGAACGAGCAGAAATCACACACAACAGGAAGTGGGTGGAGACATTGACTTAGATTGTAACTAGGTGAGGCCCAAACACTTATCCTTGTCATACCCACTAGTGACTTTCTGTCGACCTAAAATTTACTGTTATTCTCTGCTTCCTATTTTTAGCCTGTCATCAAAGCTTGCTAATGTGCCTCCAATAAGACTTAAATTTCTGTAATCAGATGGTCCTCAGTACACTGCAAATTTATAAGGTTCTTTTTGATATGGTGAATTTCCTTCTGGGCTGCAAATTTAAGTTATTATGTGGATTACAGATAATCTCAGCTGCTCTGAACAGTTGGTATTATTATTATTGTTCAGCGACCAGACACATCAAGTGCCTTGTATGTACCTTTTATCTAATGTTGCGGTTGCATGTTATGAGTGCTTTGGTTTTCGACCTGAAGATGTACTTTGCAGTCCAAAACAAAGTCTTGCACGTACTGACTCTGAAAAAGTATCAAAAATAGTAGTTCTCTTTTACAAACCACCTAAGCTTCTTGTTTTTCTAAACTGAATTACATCTCCCCGTCCCTAATTTATCTTTCCTTTTGTCACACTACATTCATGTCATCCAGAGCAAGCGTATAATCTGGTGCATCAAAACTTTTTCAACAGACTTATATCAGATATGCATAAGAACGCCTTGAGGTAACTCTTCTCATTTTAACTTGACCAGTTTCCATTCCAAGTATTGAACAGAAATGCAAATACCATGCAGTCGCTTCTAATTTCAAACCCAGTTTAAAGGATTTTTTTAAACTTGATATGTCTTTATTCTTCAGTCCTACAGCTATTAACCAAAATAAATCAACTGAAATTGTTTGAGTATTCTATGAAAAATGTGAAGAGTGTTCATGATATGTTATTATTTGGAAACTTGTGAACCAACATAGAACAATGGATAGTTTTAATTTGATTTATATCTCTGTATTGTGTGTGTTAAATTCAGAAATCACATGATGCCAGGTTATAGTCCAACAGGTTTATTTGAAAACACAAGCTTTCTGAGCCTTACTCCTTCTTCAGGTCTTAGAGTGAGGCTCCAAAAGCTTGTGTTTTCAAATAAACCTGCTGGACTATAATCTGGTGTCATGTGATTTCTGACTTTTTCCACCTCAATCCAACTCCACATCATGTGTGTTAAGTAGAGAAGGGGAAAAAGCCTGAGAGATGAATAGTTCAGTGCTTTTGAAAAAAGAGAAGAAAAATGGGCCACAGCAAGATCTTCTGTGACACGGGGAAACAGAGACAGAAACAAAGAGGGAATCATCCAGAAGATCATAATGTGTGCCGATAATAGCCGGTCATTCTGGGAGAAAAAAATTCCTGTAAGAACAGCAGTTTAGAAGTCTCCAGACAATCAAGCAGGAGAAAAGACCTGGGTAGCTCAATATTAGTATGAGAATCCTTCAGAACAGAAGCCTATGAAAGAGGACTTCAAAAGTCCATGTTTGGAAGTAAGTAAGCTGCCTTAACAGTTATGATAAGATTCTCATGAAGAGATTTAAATTCAAGGAACTAGCATCGAGTGACTGCAAAGATTTCCCATAAAGAAACAAAGCACAAACATGCCAACTGAAGAAGGAGCTATGAAGTGGGAACAACATGATCATTCATTTGAGATTTGACTGTCTGAAAGATTATTCATGGAATAGAATCATAGAATCCCGACAGTGTGAAAACAGGCACCCTGGCCCAACAAGTCCACACCAACCCTCAGAGCATCCCACCCAGAACCATCCCCCTATAACTCATCTAATCTACATATCCCTGAACACAATGGGCAATTTAGCATGGCCAATCTGCATAGCCTGCACATCTTTGGGCTATGGGAGGAAACCGGAGCACCTGGAGGAAACCCACGCAGACACGGGGAGAATGTGCACACTCCACACAGACAGTCACCCGAGGGTGGAGTTGAACCCAGGTTCCTGTGAGGCAGCAGTGCTAACCACTGAGCCACCGTGCTGCCCCCAAGTTGATTGTTGTTGAGGGTAAGAGGGTTGAATTACTTTTTCTGGATATTTGTAGTAAAACTATTGCAACTAGTTCTTCTATAGTGTAAAATGGGTTTGTGCTCTTTTTTTTCTGTTTTTACTTGGCAGCCTCTTGTGAATATATTCACTGACTGACTACCATGGTAATAACATTACAAAAATAAAACCTATGGTCTAACAAGCTAGATTTCACTCTAGGGTCTAACTTGGGCAATATTACGATCAGCTGGGATCATAGACACAGAAAATATGAGCAGTAGTAGGCTAATCAGCCCTTTGAGCCTGCTGTGCCATTCAATACGATCATGGCTGATCATCCAACTTGGGTACCCTGTTCCCGCTTTCTTCCCGTTCCCTTTTGATCCCTTTAGCCCTAAGAGCTATATCTAACTCCTTTTTGAAAACATTCAGTGTTTTGTCCTCAATCCCCTTCTATGACGGAGAATTCCACAGGCTCGCCATTTTGGGTGAAGAATTGCTCCTAATCTGCGTCCTGAATGTTTACTGTATCTTTACACTGTGATACCCCAACATATCACAAACTATCGTGGGTTTTTTGAGAGGCATTTGCACAACTGTAGGAGCAAACAAATGAATAACAAGTAAGCCAATACAACATTACAAAAATTACAATAGTTTTGAATTACTTGATAGAAAACATGCCTTGATTGTGAATTTCTTTAGCCAATAAAGGACCACTGGCAGATTCAAGTCGCAATTTGTGTATCATAGTTTAAATTTTTAGAATTGCTAATTCTTAATGTAGAAATCATCAGGTATTTGTCTTATTAATCGTACTAAGCTATTCACTGTATTGCTCTTTGATAATTATCTGCTGGGTTTACTGTCCTGATATTTAATATTCCAGAAATTAAATTATAGCTATCATTTCATATGACTGTTTGATATCTTAGGTGAAAATTAAAGAACATTTTAATGACGGAAAATAATTTCAGAAAGAAAATTATTGCAGTTTCTCCTTCACTACTCTCCTGGTAAGTACAGAGGTTAATGAGTATGGTCTTGTAGCAGACAGAAACATGGTGACAAGGAGATAAAGCTAAATATTCAGAAGTATATGGTTTTTGGAAAGGACAGGCAGGAAGTAAAGAGTTTTATTTTTATTCACTTCTGGTATGTGGGTGTTGCTGGCTGGCCAGCATTTGCCTAGTTGCTGTTGAGAAGATGATGGTGAGCTGCCTTCCTGAACTACTGCAATCCATGTGCTGTAGGTAGACCCACAATACCCTTAGGGAAAGAATTCCAGGATTTTGACCCAGTGTCATTTTCATGTTGTTAGATCTGTTCAAGTTGTGTCCCATTTAGCAGAGTGGTGGTGCCATAGAACACAATGAAGGGTATTCTCAAAGAAGTAGGTGGGACTTCGTCTCCACAAGGACTGTGCAGTGGTGGTCACTTTTACCGATACTGTCATGGCCAGATTAATCTGCAGCCAGTAGATTACTGAGGATGAAGTCAAGTATGTTTTTTCCATCTTATTAGTTCCCTCACCACATGCCACAGACCGAGGCCTTGAGGACCCCACCGGCTTGATCACTAGTGCTGGTACCAAGGTAGATTTGGTGGTTGACATTAAAACCTCCCACCCAAAGTACATTATGTGCCCTAGCCATACTCAATGCTTCGTCAAAATGTTGTTCAACATTGGGCAGTACTGATTCATTAGCTGAGGGAGGACAATTTGTAGTAATCAGCTTGAGGTTTCCTTGCCCATGTTTAATCTGATGCCATGAGACTTCGTGGCATCCAGAGTCAGTGTTGAGGACTCCCAGGGCAACTCCCTCCTGACTATATACCACTCTCGCCACCTCTACTGGGTCTCTCCAGTTGGTGGGACGGGACATATCCAGGGACAATGATGGTGGTGTTTGAGATATTGTCTGTAAGGTACGATTCTGTGAGTATGAATTTGTCAGGCTGTTGCTTGACTAGTCCGTGAGACAGCTGTCCCAATTTTGGCAATAGCGCCCATATGTTAGTAAGGAGGACTTTGCAGGGCTGACAGGGCTGTTTTTGCTGTTGTCGTTTCTGGTGTCTAGGTCAATACCAAGTGGTCAATTTGGTTTCATTTCTTTGTTGAGACTTTGTAGTGATTAATACAACTATGTGGCTTGCTAGAGGGCAGTTGAGAGTTGACCAAAATGCCGTGGGTCTGGAGTCACATATAGATCATAATTAGTTAGGATGTCAGATTTCCTTCCCTGATGGACATTAGTGAACCAGATGAGTTTTTCTGAAAATCAACAATGATTTTATAGTCATCAGTAGATTCTTAATCCCAGATTTTTGTTGAAAAAGAATGGTCCTGACCCGAAACATCAACTTTCCTGCTCCTCTGATGCTGCCAGGCCTGCTGTGTCCCTCCAACTCCACACTGTGTTATCTCTGACTCCAGCATTGACAGTTCTTACTATCTCCAGATTTTTGTTTATTGAATTCAATTTCCTCCGTCTGCCATAGCGGGATTCAAACCAGGGTCCCCACAACATTAGCTGATTTACCAGATTAATAGTCTAGCAACAATACACTGGGCCATCTTGGAAGTGTATCTTTGTTAGTACAGAATGGAAGAAGTAAGAAATAACCTTGAATCAGAAAATGTAGAATCTATATAGGTGGAAGTCAGAAATAACAAGGAGAAGATGACACTGGTGGAAGTCATCTATTAGCTCCCTTAACAGTAGCTATACTGTAGATCAGGAATAATTCAGGAGACAATTTGGGGTTGTGAAAAAGTGGTATATTAATCATGGGTTTTTTTTAATGTTGATTAAGAAAATCAAATTGGCAGAGGTAGCCAGAAGAGGAGTTCAGCGAGTGTATTTGGGACAGTTTCCTAGAACAATATGCTTTGGTTCCAGGCAGGAACCAGTGATTTTGGATCTTCTAATGTGTAATGAGACAGGTTTGATAAATTATCTCGGAGGAAAAGATCCCCTCCGAAACAGTGACCATAACAGTAGAATTTAGCAACAAAAACAGAAGTTGCTGGAAGCTCAGCAGGTCTGGCAGCATCTGTGAAGAAAAAAATCAGAGTTAACGTTTCGGGTCCGGTGATCCTTCTGGACCTGAAACATTAACTCTTATTTTTTTCTTCACAGATGTTGCCAGACCTGCTGAGCTTCCAGCAACTTCTGTTTTTGTTCCTGATTCACAGCATCTGCAATTCTTTCGGTTTTTACCAGAATTTAGCATTTAGTTTGAGAATGAGAACCTTGAGTCGGAAACAACTGTGCTAAACTTCAGGGTAATTACAAAGGAAAGAGGGCTGGAGTGGAAAGGAGTTTAGCAAAACAAAAACGGTTGTTGAACAATGGCAGATGTTTAGGTTAACCAATGGTGTTGAAAATAGTATGTTTTTGTTCTTTCAATGTAGCAAAGGTTAATAGTAAAGCAAAGGATTGGGTAAATTGAGAAAAAGCCAACAAAAGATGACCAAAAAATGAATAATGAGGGGGGAAATAAACTGAGGTAAATGGGTAAGAATTATCACAACAGGCAATAAGAGGTTCTTTAAAAATATAAAAAGGAAGGCCGAGGCATATAATACTGTGGAACCAGGAAATGGCAGGGGATTTGAATAGGGTAGAAGGCATTAATAGTATTCAAAAATACTAATTCAAGGGACAAAAGGTGGGGAACAAATAAATACACTATCATGAGAAAAAGGTATTATGGAAACTAATGGAGCTTAAGGCTAACAAGTCCCTTGGACCTAATGGTTTACATTATAGAATACTAGATTGTGGATGTAAGCGAGTAATACAGGCATTGCTACTTCATTAATTGGATTGATGACTATATGTTGGATCATACTAATATACACTCTAAACCTGTGATGTCAGCCTCATTTTGTTTTGAAGGGAGTTACTGTGCTGTGTTACAATTTGCCATCATTTTCCATTTCCAGGTTCGACCTGCCTGATCCTCTGAATTCCAGGTATTCACAATTTCTCCACATCTCTTATGTGGCGTTCATTGATTTTATCATTATTTTACCTATCATCTCATGTTATTGTCATTTCAATAATTTAGCCACATTCTGTTTTCCACTTTAGTGCTTTGCATATCCTTCTACATGATGTTCTCCTTTTTCTGTTCTTCTGTTCATGTTTCCCAGTCTTGATGAAAAGCCCACACCTAAGTGTAACTTCTCTGTTCTCTCTACAGATGCTGGCTGACCTACTCAGTGGTCAAGACTTTGTTTTCCTTTCTGTTTCCCAGCATTTACAATTCTTATTTTTGCTTTTTGTTCAGAGTACTTTGACTGTGATACTTTCCAAAGCTTTTTGTAAACCTCAACCCCAACCATCTTGAATGTGGATGAAAAACTTGAACAATCAAAATATGAATTTTGAAGTTTTAAACCGTAAACACAAAATTATGTAAAATCTGAGTTTTGCCAATAGTCAGGAATCATCTAGTTTGTAGAAGGCTTTCAGTGTTTGCCTTATGCATGAAAAATGTAAACCTCACTGTCTAACATTGAATATCCCCTGTGAAGCACATCTATTACTTAAGTGTTTGCATGTCATGGTACTGGCAAATAATGACAGTACTGTGGAAGTCATTTGTGAGACCTGTGAATTATAATTTCATCAAAGTAAAAAAATTGTTCTGTGTTCAAGTCGCTGGAAACAGCAGAGATTTAATTTTACATTTTGTGAAGGTTAAATGTGAAAAATGCATTCACTCAAAGTTTTTCATCTTGCACTCATCAGGACAATTTGCAAGAACATGAGTAAAAATGGAAACAAACATTTATCAGTATGTGTGGAGAGTACACAATGGATGACAACTAAATTCTGGTGGAGGCATTATCATGGACAAAGCAGTTGAGTGACTGTAAACTGCCCAGCTTTATTTAAATCTTAAACCTGACTGACTGGTCAGGGCATTATCTTGAGAATTGTACTAGTGAATGACTGTCACCTATTTTGTTGAGTTGAGACAGATTTAGTGCTTACTATCTGCAAAGAATAGGCCCTTACATGTTAGAACAGTACAGCACAGTACGGGCCCTTTGGCCCACGATGAAATTAATATATGTAGCTTCCAGTACACATAGGTGCTCAACGCTGAGAGCCTGGCACAGTCCTAAACTGGTTGTCAATGTGATTCTTCACACACTCAAGGCTATCCAGCAAATGTTGTCTAATTGCAGAATCACATTTGATGTTCGACACTGTATTTAAAGTTTTACAAGCACAGGCTGGTTAGGAATAATGAGTATCTTGCTTATTGCAAACAGCCAATGAGATATGCTGTTTGATACGATGGCCTGGCATCATACTAGCACTGAAATTCATAGAGCACATTATTCATTTATGTGAGAGACAGAACATACTCTTGGCTTGACAGCAACATCCTGTTGGTGGCAAATACCTCCCAAGTTGTATGTTTGCTTTGTGTGTATGTATGCCAAAGATCTTTAGACTGTACCTTCCAAACCCGAAACCACCTCTATCTAGAAGGACAAAGCCAACAGATACATGGGTATGCCACCTGCAAGTTCCCCTCCAAGCCAGTAACCATCCTGACTTGGAAGTATTACACCGCTCTTTCACTGTTGCTTGGTCAAAATCCTGGAATTCCTTTGCTACGGATGTTATGGGTCTTCCTACAGGACATGGACTGCAGCGGTTCAAGAAAGCAGCCTCACCACAACCTTCTCAAGAGCAACTAGGGATGGGCAGTGAATGCTGGCCAGCCAGTGGCACCCACGTCCCAGGAGTGAATTAAAAAATAACAGCTAGCTTTACCTGTTGTTCAAACGTCTGAAATGCCTTATCCTTAATATGAGGTAGACTGTTCTCTTTTCAGGACTAAGAGCTTTCAGGCCTTTCGTGAGTTTGTGCAGTCTGCAGTATTATTAGCTGATCAGGGTAATGTCCTGCATTAACCTGCAGACTGGCTTTGATCTGATTTATTTCAAGATCAATCTGGCATGGTGAGCAGATGTGTCAGACAACCATGTGACACAGGTGTATTGGACACTAATAATATTAATACACCGGGATCTGTTAGAAAGAATATGTGCACGCACTCCACCTTTTTGAACTCAATAAAATAGCTGACAGCCATTTTCTGGTTCATTTCTCAGGTTAATCCCTGACCAATCGCTGTCAACTCACCTAGTTAAAAACGTAAACATAGCCTGATAGTTAATAGTCAATTATAATGAACTACTACATTCTCTATGGCCTCTCCTCAACCAATCACCATCCACTTGTCAATCAGTCCACACTATCCTCCTCTCTCTCTGTCGAAATGTTGGTTTTCCCCTTTATTGGTATTCTCGTGAGCTGTCCTGACGAGTGCAAGATGAAAAGCTTTAACAAATGTTCTTTTCAGCAATATTCAAGTTCTATACTACCAAATGACTAAAAGACTGATAGAGTTCAACAAGGTGTAAACTGAACCATTTAATAAAAAAATTAAAAGAGCAAATGTTAATAGAAGAGAGAGAGTGGAGATGGATTAGGGCTTTGGCATGCAGATGAGAACGTTGAGGCACCTTACCAGCAGAATAATCGAAACTCTGATCACAGCCTTTCATACATTCTTAGCTGTACATTTGCCAGAGGACTATCAATGTAACAAATGTACTGAAGATGAGAAATGCACATAAACTGGATATGCTTGAAACAGGTGCCCTAAGACGAGATAAAATTTACACCTAGAAAGAGAGGGCTTAAATAAATAAAAAGGTCAAGAGTATTTAACAAATTTCAGCCTGAGAAAATATTGTTAAAGTATTATGAGAAATATATTGGTTAAAGTGCAGATTTTCAAAAGTTGCTTAAAAGAGCACTATAAAGGAGGTTCTTTTGGTTAGTAATTAAGAGGTGGAGTATTATAAAGAATTTAACAACCAGGTTAGAGGTTGGCTAAAGAACAGATTACAAAACAGTCATTAAGAGGTACTTTCCAAAGTGAAGCAAAAAAAGTGGTATTATCGAGTGTCAGTGTTGGGTCTCTTCTAAGCGTATGAACTCTGCTGAGTTATGTAGGGCACTAGTGCTGTGCACAGCTATGCAGCAGCCTGTCAATACCACACAGACTTCGTTTTGGGTTAGATTCTGTGCTAAAACATGTAAAGGTATCACACATTTAAACAATGTGCACAACAATGACAATGAAAGTGTCATTTTAGAGTAAACATTTGAGTTTACAATATCAAATTTAGAAATGATACAAAAATAGGTAACATTATTAGCTATGGAGAACGTGTCGACTAGTTTATTTAGGCAGTCATGTTGGATAAAACAATGCTTAGAAATGTGAGCTGGCACTTTTGGGAGGCAGGATAGGTAATAGACCCTAGATTATAAACTTTTTAAAAACAGCAGAACATTTACACTTTAGGGTTCAGATGCATGCATACACAACATAATCTTTAAAAGTAGGTGAACTAGTTTTTAAAGCCATAAAGAATATATAAATATGGGTATGGAGTACAAAAGTGGAAAGGTAATTCAAAACCCACATACAGGTGCAGTATAATATGAATCATTATTTTTCGATTACACACATTATTGCGCAGGAAGCTGGCCATCCTGCTTAAGAAATGGTGAGAGATTTGCCAAGATGCTAACAGGATAGCAAACACACATGCAAATTGGTGAACAAGAGATTTACAGCTTCATCGATCTCTTCCATATAATTTTGAATCCTGTGCATTATAATGCAGACACATTTCACCTGGAAGCCATTTGATCTCCTAGGATTAGCAGAAAAGTAGATAAAAGCCCCACTGTATTAGTGGTGTGGGGGGAGATAATTGTAAAATTCTTCTTGATCCCTGTAAGCGATTAATGCTTTTTCAGGAGAATAATTCATATTTTTTTATACCTGTATTATTTGTGAGGTGAACTCCGTTCCAGTCAGAAACATGTCCAACCCCATCAACCTATCCTGCTTGAAAATTCTTTAAGGCGATGTGCATGGTCCGGAGGGAGATATATAAATTATCTTTTTTTAAATAATACAAAAGTTTGGCTTGTTGAGATAGTGAAGCTTGACCAAAAACTACATAACATCTCATAACATTTAAAAATCTGTCTTTGTAGGTGAAGTGGACTCGAAGACCAGACATCATGGAAGGAATCGGAAAGAAATGCGAGATGAAACAGAGGTAGGTAGTGTAGCCAGATCCATTAGCAGGAGTGTGCAACCCAGGAAGTTGGAATTTATTGAAAATTATTACATGGCTTTAATCTTTATTACCGTCAAACTGGGGGTAAAATTTAGAGTGATAGACTTCGTTATAGCCGTGTAAAATTGTTCAGTTTTAAAACAAAATGCAGATACACAGTTAGGCACATGTCCTGTTTGGTGGAAAAATCCATCCCATCTTTATAGCAAAGGGACCTTGATCAGATGGGCAAATGGGCCGAGGCATGGCAGATGGAGTTTAATTTAGATAAATGTGAGGCGCTGAATCAGGGCAGGACTTATACAGGTCCTGGGGAGTGTTGCCGAACAAAGAGACCGAGGAGTGCAGGTGCATAGTTCCTTGAAAGTGGAGTCACAGGTTGACAGGGTGGTGAAGAAGGCGTTTGGTACGCTTGCCATTATTGGTCAGTGCATTGAGTAAAGGAGTTGGGAGTAAAGGAGTTGGTCATGTTGCAGCTGTGCAAGACATTGGTTAGGCCACTTTTGGAATACTGCATTCAATTCTGGTCTCCCTGTTGTGAAACCTGGAAGGGTTCCAAAAAGATTTACAAAGATTTTATGGGATTGTAGGGTTTAAGCTATAGGGAGAGGCTGAATAGACTGGGATTATTTTCCCTGGAGCATCAGAGGCTGAGGGGTGTCCTCATAGAAGTTTATACAATCATGAGGGCCTTGGATAGGGTGAATAGCCAAGGTCTTTTCCTCAGGGTAGGGGAGTCCAAAACCAGAGGGCATATGTTTAAGGTGAGAGGAGAAAGATTTGAAAGGGATCTCGGAGGCGACTTTTTCATACAGAGAATGGTGCATGTATGGAAAGGGCTGCCACAGGAAGTGATGGAGGCTCGTACAATTACAACATATAAAAGGCTCTGGGTGGGTTTATGAATAGGAAGGATTTAGAGGGATATGGGCCAAATGCCAGCAAATGGAACTAGGTTAATTTAGGATATCTGGTCGGCATGGACAAGTTGGACCAAAGGGTATGTTTCTGGGCTGTACATCTCTATTGCTCTATGATTCTATTGTATTAAATGACAGATATGCGCACGCACACACACATATTTGTGTTTATACGATAATGGCAAAGTAAATGACTCAGTTTCACTCCTGTCTCTTACTTTAGAAAGTTATTGGTTTGTGGATGCCATTAGAACATACCCATGTTAGGTTAAAAACAGCAGAAAGACACCGAGTCATATTTCATTCTAGTTCTAAATATCCAGTCTCACTGCACAGACATGTTCAGGTAAAGTAGCTAAGATGACCCCAGCAAGCTGCTACTGCATATGTCTCAATATCTAGCTGGACGCATCAGTGGTTCAGGAGCAGTCTTGTGTGCTCTATTCCCTTGGTTGCAGAGACACAACAGGAGGGAGGATAGCTACCTGCTGTAAATCACAACAGGGTAAAGAGAATGTTCTTCATTGAAGTATAAGACAACTTCAACATTGTTCATACACCAATGTCCAGTGGAAAAGAATGTTGGAATGTGGGGGAAATACCAGTTACCTCTGCCACCTGCCCACCCACCACACTGAGTTCTTGATCTTGAGTGCAGTGATGTAGTAGTGTTTAAAATCATGAATTGTTTCTGTCAAAACCAAGGGCACAGATATAAGATAATCAGCAAAATTAATCAAAGGCAACATGAGGAAACTCAGTGAGTTGATGTGATCTGGAATGCACTACCTCAAAGGGTGATGGGAGTAAATCCTAAAGTGAATTGAATAAGTAACAGGAGGAAGAAAACATTGCGGCGTTATGGAAAAGAACAGGGGAATAGAATTAATTGGATAGTTCATCTAATGCAGTAATACAGCATTCTCAGAGATATTAAAGGGGATTTGTTGGTTAATATACAGATATATGCAACTATTGGACCTCAACAAGAGCCAATATGTTAATCAAAATTGAATATGTAATATTTATTCTATTTAACAAGATCAATTTTATAGAGCTAGTTATGGATACTGCACCCCAGATGATAGAAGCATGTGCAAATGCACTTTATAAATGATTTTTATAAGGCTAATCAAATGCAAATACTTTCTTTATAAGGTCACAGTAACACTGCAGTTGTAAAGACCCCCCATGAATGCCTTACGGATCCTGTAATACAAGGCACAAAATCCCTGTTGACCAAAAGCAAAAGCAGATATAAAACACCAGGACTAGAGCTCAAAACTGAGTTTTTTTTAAGGATGATGTAACCAAGGTGGATAGATGTGGTTAAGATGGATGAGAAGGTAAGAAATGATTTAATTGAGCAATGGAGCAGGCTCAAGAAACTAAATACTTTGCTCCTGTTTTCAAGTTCTAATTGTGAGATGGGATTTAGGGTGCAAGAATTTCAATTTTAATTACGTTTTGCATATTGTACTTAAATGGGCCCAGACTAAAAAAGCACATTGAAAGCTCAGTGTAACTAAAGGCGAATTCTGTTTTCTGCAATGTAAAATAAATATTTTTAGAAAAAAAAACCTGTTGTCTCTTTATCTACAAACATTGAATTCTGTGGTGTCTCAATGACCTTGAAGAACTAATATCATTCAAAGTGACCAATAAGAATTGAATCCATTGGCAGTTACGCATTATTAAAACTGTTAGAAATAGGACCAGGAGCAGGCTGTTCAGTGCCTGGAACCAGTTCCACCATTCAATAAAATCATGGCTAATCTGATATCCCTCAAGGCCACTTTCCTGCCTTTTCCCCATAACACTTGATTTCCCTACAGAACAAGAATCTATCTATCGCAGTCTTAAATATACAAAAGGACTCTGCCCCATTGTTCTCTGTGACAAGCAGTTTCAAAGACTATCAACCTTCTGAGAGAAGAAATTCTTCCTCATCACATCCCTTTATTCTGAGACTATGCCCCTCTGGTCCTGGACCCTCCCATGAGTGGAAACGTCCTCTCAGCATTTAATCTGTCAAGCCTCTTATGAATCCTACCTGTTTCAACAAGCTCACCTCTCATTCTTCTAAACTCCAGTGAGTAGATTCCCAACCTGTTTAATCTTTGCTCATAAGACAATGCATCTATATTGGGGATCATCTGAGTGAATCTTCTCTGAACTGCTCCAATGAAATGATACCTTTCCTTAAATAAGGAGAAAAAATTGCTTACATTACTCCAGATGTGATCTGACCAGCACCTTGTACAGTTGTAGTAAGACTTCCCTTCTCTTATACTCCAGCCATATTGAATAAGGGCCAACATTTCACTAGACTTCCTGATCACCTGTGCGCTCACTTTCTGTGTTTTGTGTGTACGTACCCTCAAGTACCTCTGTGTTGCAGCTTCTCTCCATTTAAATCATATTCTGATCTTTTGGTCTCTTTTCCAAAATGAACAACATCACATTATCCTACATTATATTCAATTTGCCCACTTACATAACCTATCAATATCTCTCTGTAAACTGTATCCCTCTCACAGATTGTTTTTCCACCATTTTTTTGTCATCTGCAAATTTGGCTGCAGTACAGTCTCTTAATTTCTCCAAGTCATTGGTATATATTGTAAACTTTTGAGGTCACAGCACTGATCCCTGTGGAACCACACTGGTCATAGTTATCAACCTGAAAAAGGTATCTCTACTCACTGTTTCCTACCCATGAGCCAATTCTCTGTCTATGCCAATATACTACCTCCCACACTATGTGTTCTTATCATATGACAACCTTTTGTGAGGCACGTTGTGGAACATCTGGAAGTTCAAATACAACACCTGTACTGATTCACCTTTATTCACTCTGGTTGGGACTTCCTCAAAAGCTCTAATAAAGTAGTCAGACACGATTTTCCTTTCATGAAGCCAAGCTGACTCTGCTTGATTACATTATGATTTTCTGCTATTACTTCCTTGATAATTGATTCCAATACCTTTCCAACAACAGATGTTAGGCTAATCGGTCTATGCTTACGTGCTTTTTGCTTCTCTTCATTTTTGAATAGGGATGCCACATTAGCAGTTTTCCAAACCTCTGATACTTCTCCAGAATTCACTGATTATTTGGAAAATTACAATGAATGCATCCATTATCTCTGTAGCTACCTCTTTTTGAATCCTAGGATACAAGCCCTCAAGGCCATGGGACTTGTCTGCCTTCAGCCCCATTAGTTTGTCTTATAATACTTGTTTTGTGATGTTGATGGTACTTAATTCCTTCGCTGTGTTCTTTAGTATTAACAGAATATTCAAAGAATCTTCCATGTAAAGATTGATACAAAATATCTGTTTAACTCCCCTCCCATTTCCTTGTTCCACAAAACCCATCTGGCCAGGTTCATTTTCTAAGGAGCCTATGTCCACTTCGACCTTTCTCTTACTTTTATATGTTTAAAGAAGCTCTTATACTTTTATTATTTTTATATTCCTCACTAGTTTACCCTCAGTTTATTATCTCTGTCTTCAGTATCCTTTTAGTCCTCCTTTTCTGGATTCTGAATTCATCCCAGTTTTTGGGGCTATCACTGACTTTAGCCTCCTTATATGCTTTTTCTTTCAACTTGAATACTCCTTTAACTTCCTTGGATCGTCATGGTTGGTTTATCTCTCTATTAGAATCTTACCTCCGTACTGGGATATATTTTTAGCCGAGAGTCATGAATTACCTCCTTAAATACCTGCCACTGCTTGCTTGCTATCATTCCTGCTAATCTGGCTGCCCAGTTCACTTTAGCTAATACTATCCAAATTTTGTGGTAATTCCCTTTATTTAAGTAAAACACAGTTGTTTCCAATCCAAGTTTTTCACTGTCAAACTAAATATTAAATTCTATCCTGTGTTATGATCACTACTTCCTTGGGAATCTTTTACTCAGAGGTCATTTATTAAACTTGTCTCATTACTCATTACCAGATCCAAGATAGCCTGGTCCTTGGTTGGATCCATGATATATTGCTGTAAGAGATTATCCCTATGAATTTGTTGTTGCAGCAGCTACCCTTGCC